TTGCTCCTCTCCCTCGGCTCCCACCTTTCCCGTGTGAAGAGGCCCCTCTCCTGGCCCAGGTGCACTGTCCATAGACTCAGCTTCGGAACTGCATCCTCCCTTCCAGACCCCACCCGCCTCCCGGCCCCAGGCAGCCCGGGCTAGCCGTCCCTGCCCTCGTACATGCTCATACCATGTTTAATTCTCTCTTCAACTCACTCTCTTCTGTGATATGGTGAGGTGCTCCAGGACAGGCCCACCCTGCTCACAAAAAAGTTTATTGAATGAATGAACCAAGTGCATCACGTCGAATGGCACTATCAGCCTTCAGCGGCTCCCCACGTTAGAAACCTCGGGTCACCTGCTTCTTCTCCTTCCCACCTTCCTGCCCATGTCAGCTAAGAGTCCTGCTGGACAGTGGGGGGACAGAGAAGAACAGAGTTTGGATTCCCACAGCCCTGGGGTGGGCAGTGGCTTTGCTACTTGCTACTAACATGTGCACGTCCCTGGGCATTGACTTCCCCTCCGAGCTTCTGCTCCCTGCTGCCTTCTAGCATTAGGGCCGGGGTGACGGAGAAAACACTTGTGAACACCAGACATGGTGCCTGACGTGTCATCCATCTTCAGAACAAGGTGACTCGACAAACCGCCATCTCTGCCACTGCTGTCACGGCCCACCTCCTCAGAAGGTGGTACATGTGACACTCAGGGGCTTCACTCCTGAGCACTGCCCAGCCCACGGGCAGACACCTCAAGTCTGAGCAGCAGCAGAGACATCACACCCCAGGGCGGCTCTGAGCCCTTCCTCACTCTTCTCCTGCATGCGACCCCGCCCCCAGCTCTCATTCAGCTTGAGGGGCTTCAGTGTCACCTGCCTCCTCGGATCTTATCGGACCCCTGGTATACTTCTGTAATCGCTTCCCTCTGCCTACTGGCTGAAGTCCAATTCCTTAAAAGAGTTGGTAGCCCTCAGGGACCTGGCCCTGCAGGGTCTGCAGCCTCCTTTCATGGCCGCTTTCCCTGGCCACGCCGGGGCAGCCTCGCTCCAGCAAAACTGTACGCAGCCCTTTGCGTGGGGCACGCTCCACCTTCACTGGGGGAGCCCCCGGGAAGCCCCCGTGGCACCCTGCCCTCTCTCTGTGGAGCCTGCCCTGTGGGCTGTCTGCGTGGCTCATCCCCACCATCACTGTTCTGCACATTCCATAAACGTTGGGATGAGCGGGTAGCCCTTCGCCACGCTCTCGTTGCCTGAGCCCTTTGCATCTCAGAGTGATGCAAACATTCTCCTAACAAAGAGCAAAGCATCTGCCAGCCCTGGGATGGAGCTGGGCAGTGGGGACACAACAATGACAATGCAGATGAGGTCCCTGGCTAGCGGTGGAGGCACTTAACCAAGAAATGGACAAATGTAATTAAAAGTTGGATCAGTGCTCTGAAGGAAATGGGGTGCGCTGATGGAGTAAAGGAGAGTTCCGGATTTCACTAGGGTGGTCAGAGAAGGCCTCTTTCAAGAGAAAATATTGAAGTTTAAACCTGTGGGATAGAGTCAGCCATGCCACTTCAGGGATGGGGTGGGCAATGGCAGCCTGTGCCAAAGCCCTGAGGCAGGAAAAAGGTTGGTGGGTGAGAAGCGGAGGCCAGTGATGGAACACATTTAACATGGGCCAGCCATGGCTGTAGAAGTGGGCAGGGGTCACATCAGAGAAACTTTTGTGGCCGCGGTAAGGGGTACAGGCTTTGTTTAAGTGCCGCGTGAAGCCACTCAAGGGTTTTAAGTAAGAGGATGATGTGATCACTGTTGTGAGATGCTCTGGAGAGATGTCATGCAGCTTAGGGAAGGGATGATGGAGGCTGAGACCAGGCCTGAGAGCAAAGCTGGGCAAGGCAGACAGCCAGGGAAGTGACTGGAAGGTGCAATCTCTAGAATGTAGGAATCCTAGCGGAGGGGAGAGTCCAGGCTGGGTCAAGGCTTGAGCAGCCTGTGCGGTGGTGTCCAGCCCTGAGATGCAGATGACCTCAGGGGGGCGGCTGGGAGGCAGCAGGCAGTGCTAGCGCTGACCCCTCTGTGCTGTGGTCACCAAGCCTGCCCTAGGCATCCTCAGGTCCCAGTGCCCACAGCCCGCAGACACCTGCTGACTGGAACTTTCACTCTCTTCATTTGGGTCAAATCTTCACGCTAGGGGACTGGATTTGATTTTGATTTTTTTATACTCAAGTTCTGCAAGGTGAACTGGTGAAAATATGGGCAGTTTTTTTTCTTAACAGAAAATGTGTGGCTATAAATGACCGAGCATTTCTGGTACGTCCTGTACAACGGACTGAAGATGATTCCAAAGGTTTTTTCCGAATGTTCTGAGAAACTGAGATTTTAATATGGGGATTTTTTTTTCTATTCAGGAAATATGTAAATTTTTATTTGGTAAAAGTAAAACCATTTCCACACGAAGCTCATTACCTATCTCAAATCTTTCAAATATACATTTTCCTAGAGACATTAAAAAAATTCACAACCTAGAAAGAATGTGGGTATGCAGACAACACAAAGGAGCATGCCCCCGCCCCCCGCCCCAGGCCCTGTTAAACCTGTCCAGCGTGCTGGTCCCAGCATTCTCTGGTTATGGGCTTTCCTTTCTTTGAGTCTACGTCATTATCTGTAAAACAAGGCTTTGAACTATATCAGGCATTCCTAGAATTCTGGATTTCACAGGTCAGGCGGCAGATCAGTATTATTGTCATTTTATTAAAGTTTTTTGGGTGTGGGGACCACAGTATTGCCAACTGCTTTCAACTAGGGAATTATAAAAAATTCCTGCTCTTTATGTTCGCCGTCTCATGAAGGTCTATTTCAGGGCCGAAAGTGGAGGAAGAGCGCGTCCAATAAAGGATAATGCTCTAACGGAGTCAATTTTCTGAGGCACCGGCTTCTTGCCCTTTTCTCTTATCTTGATGAGGACGTGGGAGCACTTGGTCGTGCTGTGCAGGCTTGTGGTGGGACCTGAGCCTGGTCATGAGATCTGACTCTGGTCCCATTGTCAACTTAGGTGGAGCAGATTTAGGGTCTCACCTCCGTACCACATCGTCCCGAGCATGTGGCCCGAGGTCGGGAGACGTGGGGTCTGTCCGGGCGCTGCTGCTACACTAACTGAGCCGGCTCGGTCCCTAGTCTCCTCACCGGGGAAGCAGCTTCCATGAGGTGAAGTCCTGCCAGTCTCCAGGCTGGAGGAGAAAGCTCGTGAGAGGGGTAGGCGGAAGTTACTGTTGTGACTATTTCTTCGTTGGGCAGTGGGCCTCTGTTCATCGTGTTAAGAATGAATGAAGTCATGAAGTTTCTTTTGCCTGAGATTCCTGCACTCCAGAGGCCTTGCCTGGGCTACATTGCCAGAATGATAATCTAGAAGACTCTGGTTACCTGACAGCTTCACATTCCACTACTCATTACCCACCCACATGTCCTTCACCAACCAGACCCTACGAGACGCCTGTGGAGTGATGAACACATTTCCCACATTCAGACTCTGAGTTGAAGGGAAAAAAATAGAGTGAGGTATATATTTCTGTATTTATTCAATGTTACTATTAAATACACGTCGCCCCTTACCTATTTCAAGATACTGAATTGTTCCCTCCCAGCGTTATTGAGAGTGGCCCATTTTCTCTCGGGTCTGATCTTTTTCTGCTCAGCAGGTTAGCCTGGTCTCCAGAAGCCTCTACTTTCTCAAGCGCGTTAACTGGAAGGCAGGTCTCACAGTTTCACTGGAAGCCCCTCCCTCTCGCTCTTTGCAGGTGGCTGTGCGGTGGGAAGAGGTCTGCGTCAGAGAGGCCCCATATGAACCGCTGCCATGGCCTGGGCCAGCTAACGAGCCTCGCCGTGCTCCCACTTCCTCTTCTGCGAGGACAGCTGTGCTGTGGACACGCCCTGCCCAGAGCGGGGCCTGCCCTTTGCTCCCAGCTCCTGGCAGTTTGCCTCCAAGCCCTGGGACTGTTCTGCCCGTTTCCCCGGGGGCTGGAGGGGCTGGACACTGAGGTCAGCCATGTATATGTGATTGACCCCAATAAAACTCTGGACACCAAGGCTCGGGGGAGCGTCCCTGGGTGGCGAGAGAGAGAACAGAAGCTAATGAGTTGGTGGTCTTCAAAGTGTTGAAATTTGGCCTAACATTTTTTTAAGTAGTTAAAATATTACAAAATTTAAATTTACATAAAAGCAATAGCTTCTGAAGTCTGTGTGAAGGCCACTGGACTAGATGTTTTTTTTTGAGGAAGATTAGTCCTGAGCTAACTACTGCCAATCCTCCTCTTTTTGCTGAGGAAGACTGGCCCTGAGCTAACATCCATGCCCATCTTCCTCTACTTTATATGTGGGATGCCTGCCACAGCATGGTTTGACAAGCAGTGCATAGGTCCACACCCAGGATCCGAACCCGTGAACCCCGGGCCGCCAAAGTGGAGCGTGTGAACTTAACCACTGTGCCACAGGGCTGGTTCCATTTCTATCAATTGTCTTCTGGTTCACATTTGCCTACTCAAAAATTGAGAGGTGGCCAATAAAAAGCCGCCTCTACTTTTTCCATTAGTGAAGGAAAAAATGAGCTGATAGAAAACTCGGAAGAGACTTGGCTGGTGGTTGGCAGCACAGCAGGCCCCCAACTGTGCTGAACAAGGGGCTCCTGCCCCACCCCGTCTTCCAGCCAGTGTCCCTGGTGTGGCTCCCTGACCCTCACAGTAACTTGATAATCATCAGAACCAGCTTGCCCAACACCATGGCTAAATTTAGTGTCATGATGAGCAATAAAATTCACATGTTCTTTATTTAGTCCATATAATACACCATTTTTAGAGTTTTTTAAAATTAGATAAAAGAGCATATTAAATGGCAAGTGTATGAAGTTTCTCTTCATAAACAATGTCAAAACAAAAAAGTTTTGAATTACAAAATGTTAAAAAATATGTAGGTACTTAACATTTCACTAAAGCATAAAGTTACAGATATTTTCTAAAGAAAAATAATTGTGCCACTTACCTATTTTTGCTGTTTCTATGAACTTTTTTATTCTGTACATAGGACATTTTGTACAAAATATGAAGTCTACATTTTTATTACTTATTACCATAAAACAAAGATACAATGTATGTACAATATTAAAAGGAAGCCATACTAAAGCCACACTAAAAAGACACTCGGAATAGTGACATTTCTGATGTACGGATACATTTTGGAAAGAGTGAAGATGCCAAACGCAGAACTTTATGAAGAGAAACAGTCACCGGTTTATTTTCAGTGTAGTACTTCTGAGATCAGTTTGCACAGAACAAACAGTGTATCTAGAGAATAATATATAAGTCGAACAATTAGCGCAGGGAGTCTGAGTCCTAACCAGGAAAACTTTAACAGGCCAAAATATTAAATAATACTCTTGTCAAAGAAAATTAGTTTCTCTTAAAACTTTTTTTGTCCCTTTTTGGTGAATGTTTGTCTTCAATAAAGAGCAGAAATAAAACCTAGACAAAAAGATGTTCTCATACGCTGAGCTTTACACAATCACCCAAACACTGATATTTCGCTTTCTCCCTCGGGCAAAAGAGAGTCTTTCCAGATGCCTCTCTCACAAACACACCGGCCATCCAGAATCAAGGATATCGGAGAATCTATCAGCTAAAGACGGAAGTTCAAACAATGGTATATCAAAATACAGAAGACGCTGCTTTATACAATAAAAAGCACCCTTTTTCCCTCAAAAGGAGAAGGCATCTGAACTTTTTTTAAATTATAAATTTCATAATGGTAAAATGGGTAGCTACTTGTCAAGTTTCTCAGGAAGTGTTTCTTCTCACAAAGTGGGCTGTTCCACTCTCAGCTGGGGCAGTCAGCGAATTTGGCCCCCCCACAGACGGCTTTCCTCTAAGCACAGGAACTAAACACTGTCAGTGGATTTCAGTGATGCCACCGTGACACGGGAATGAGGCCTGCTGCTCTTCGCGACGCTTCCACGGACACCTGAGACCTCGAGCGAACAACAGATCCTAAAAGAAGCCACAGTTTATCTTTTATGCATCGAGACATTTAACATGAAGCTATATAATCTTACGCCAGAGACAAAAGAAACTAGAACCACTTGTTTAGAATAGCAGTGCGTGTCTCAAGAGCTTTCAAGCAGGATAAGTCAGTCAAAATACTGGCCGCCCTGAGAGAAATAAAGAACAGACAAAGCACTAAGTTTAAAGGTTTTTCTCCTCGTGCTATTCCATCGAAAACAAAAAGCTCAATCCATGCAAGAAGTCTGTGAAACAGATAGCAGCATTTGAAGACCGATGCGAACTCAGACACTGCCTTTTCCGCAGGAGGTGTTGACATGTGCGCATCGTCACCAGAAAAAGATCCATGTGAGGCCACCCTCACTGCCGCTTCCTCTGAGTGCTGAGCACCACGTGACAGCAACAGTGGCCGTCACGCATGGCCCGGCACGTACACTGTGACTTTTGTTACGTTCTGACCAAAGGCAGCTGCAGCCTGCATTAGGCCAAGAACTGACCTAATCAGAATGACCTCATTCTAACTTTCTAAAAACGTGGAATTCTTAGAGGTTATAATTTTATTAGTTCAAGAGCCTTGTTAAAGGGCAAGAATGTGTGAGTAGAGGAAAAAAATTCTGCAAACAAAAAAATGATAAAATCGTTTTTAAATTCCAATTCCAGTCAAGGTAGATAGAGAAGCCTCTTTTGAAAATAAATTTCTCCTGTGAACTCGCTCCTGGAATCCTGGTACCAGACCACAGACTTGGAAATATGGCTTTAGAGACACATGAAGGAGTAGGACATGGCGCACATGTCGTTCCTCAAAGTAAAGGAACACCTTGGGAAAACCAGCGGCTGAGGGCCTTCACGTCACTGTCCCCAGTAAGCTGCGTTAGAAGAAAGCAAAGAACCATTTTGGTGAGATTTAAAAAAAACTCCCCAAACTGCTGGCGTAACAATCACATGAAAACAATTTCAAAGGTTTTAAAGTCTTAAAAAATATGCAGTACTTTTTTAAAGTGCTCCTTTGATTTGAAAAACATTGATATTATCATAGAACCACCTATTTTGAATGATCACAAATTCCGTTTGGGTAGAACATGGAGATGACCAGGGTGCTTTCCTTAGCTCTGATTTTGGGAAACTATCCTATCTGGGGCTGTGCCGGGGTCACGATGACGTGGGGAGGACACGGTCAGGGGCCCCGGCTCTGCGCACGATCTGAGAAGTCACCATTGTTTGAACTCCTAATCTCGAGCTGAGGCGGAAGTACGTTGTTGCCTACAGAACGGGGTCGAAGAAAGCTCTGACTGTGAGTGTAACTGATTTGTATGGCACAAAAAGTATGTATTTTCTACAGAATCCAGAACAGGAGTGGCGTCCGCAGCCTGCCGCGGTCCTCCGGGGCTAGCGCCCGTCCTGGGAGAGCAGCTCGTCGGCTCTGCAGTGGGCCTCCAAGGCGCTCTTGGTGTGGAGGTCCTGAGGCAGCTCGGACTTGCGGCGCACGAGAGGCCGGTCCTTCTTCGGTTCTTTCTGGGCCTGGAATTAAAAATGCAGTGGCGTTGGCTAGAAACTAAGCTGCCTGACCAGCGAGCTCACTTCTGTCAAAGTCAAAGGACAGTGGTGAGGCCGACGGGCAGCACACAGCCTAAGGCTCCCCTACAAACTCTCGGCACGGGCAGGCCTGCCACTGCTCATCACCGCAATCAGCCAAAATGTCTCGTCTCCTAAAAATAACCCAAGGACTCATGGGAAGGGCTGTGTGTGCAGGACTGGCATTTTGGTCTTCTAACCTGTGTAGCTGTGTACAGAGTACTCAGTCCCTCTACTTTGCAAATTCACCAGTTTTAGTAAATCCCATAAATGGTAAACCCTCCTATTTCATAAAACGTCACCAAAGCTGTCTTACGGCTCTGTCCATTACAGAAGCATTTCAGAAAGTCAACATTTCCTTTGGAGGTAAATAAAAAGAATGAATGACAAACATATTTAAACTGGATTTAAACTCAATAAGAGGTCTAAAACTTCTATCAAATTTGAGAAGAGATAAAGAGGTATTAAATGGGCCATGTATGGGAAAAATCCCCCCTAGAACTTAGAAAAATGGTATTTAATTATTTACATAAAATTTCCTGAGATTAAGGTTAAGAAATAAAAGACTCCCTTCTTCATCACATTCTCTTCTTAAAGTTTAGGAAATTTTGATTTTACCTAAAAAAAAATCCCAATTAAATGAAATCTCTTTTTTGCATGAAGATTTAGAGAACTGTGTCTGTCAAGAAAGGGGGGGTGCCTCATATGGGGAGTTTACACACCAAAAGTGTCCATTTCCATGAATAATAGTTAAACAAATTATTCCGTTTTAAAGTAGGGCCATTGCATTAATATCAGCATTTTTGAAAGAAAACAGTGAGCCACGAGAATCATCTGAACACCATGTCTGCAGCAGGAGACCATCGGCTGGGAAACTGACCAGAACGAGTCTTCCTTTCTGTTGTGTCTCCATCAAAAGGAAGACAGCATGTAAGAGAATGAGTGACTTCTGTGGTGGTGAACAAACATGTACCAGAAAAAAGGTGTTTTAAGTCAATCATTTGACAACAAAAAGAACATAACCGTAACAGCTCGTCAGTTGCCAGTTATCTAACTTCAGTACGGAAGGTAAAGTACACTTTTCTTTGCTTTAATGAAAAATTCAAGAACGTGCAGAAGTCGTACATGAAAAGTTCAGATTTTTGCAGAGCTAAATATTTCTCACTGTTCTTCGCAAATTTGTCTACAAAAACAGCAAGAATATCAAGGTTTAGAAAATTTTGTGTGACATCATTTTAGGATTCTATCTGGAAGTGTTATTTGAACATGAATCTTGCTTCCCGGTAGCGGCAGGAATTGTGATTTCCCCTGGAAACGAGTGTATGGTGGCTGCAGGGGAACCGCCCACAGGAATGTGGGGCCACAAGTCCCCAGGGACCGTCAGCCCCAGTCCTTACAAGAGGGCCTTCGACCCACAAGAATCTCCGGGGGAAACTCTGCCCCGAATTTTACGTCTGTTCCACGTTGAGCTGTAAAACAAAGCAAAGGAAGCAAAACACAACCAAGACTTCTAGATACTTGAAATGTTAACCCCTGCTGAGACAGGCATTCCGAAGAGAAGGAACATTTTAATAGAAAAAAGCAACAGTCAAAAACCTGGGAGCTGGAACCAATAAATGCAAATTGAGAAAACAAACACGACCCCGGAGCTTCCGACAGGACAGAAGGCGTGACGGACACATCCGAGCTTTCCTGCATAGGCATTTTCAATTGGGGGGCAAAGCAGAGAATACTTTCACAAACCACAAGGGGAGAAAAATCAGAAAAACAGGAGGCAGGAAAGGATGAGACATCATGCAGATGGTCACCCTGAATGAGTAACACTTCGTGCAGGGGACGTGCTGGTGAACATGCTGCCACGGGTGGGATGGACGAGACACACAGAATGCGGGGATCTGAGACTCTGCTGAGGGGACACAAGCCGGAGAGAAACGGCCTCTGTTTTGCAGCTTAAGTTGTAAATGAACACCAGGGTTTGGGCACACAAAATTGTGTATGTTTCTACTACTTAATTTAGGACAGAACTAATCAAATTTTCTTAAGGGACCAGATTTGTCTTCATCATCATAAGCTGGAATGACAGGAGAAAAATGGGAAAATACTTCATGTACATCCATCACACATTGACTTGTCAATTCTTTTCCTGAATATAAAAGCCTTAAATACACTCTACATATTGAGTAACGAATACCTTCACTTCCGACCTTTTGTCTTTCTACACCTTCCTTATTTGCAAGGTTGACACTGCTTTTCTTGCGACCGACTGTTAAAAATGAGAATTGTAAACATTTTAAATGTCTCTGATGCAAATGTTATTCACATGAAACTTACTAGTTTTCTTTGAATGTTCTATGCAGGGTTATACAAGTTCCTCAAAAAGAAATCCAAGGTATGGTTCTGACAGGTAAATATATAGTTGAATTTCTCCACCAAATTCCAACCAACTGTGTCCCACTAGCATTGGGGTCTTCCCTCCCCTCTTCTGCAATATTACCATTTACGTCTCACATCTGTCCTGTCCTGAGCCAGCATTCAAATCATTTGAAAGAAATGTGGGATGATTTTGGGAAAATAAAATTAGCTGAAGATACAATTAAAAGGGCATTGAAAATATTCCAAGTTTAATCTTTAGCTCTATCTTTTTATGTTAATTTGGTCTCCAAATCACGCACATAAATTTTTCCTGCATCGTGGCATCTTCTCTTTGCTTTAACAACACTGTTTTTGAGAATTTCAGGAATGTGACTGCAAACATTTTCAAATTAAGAGTCTATCATATTAAATATTATACCTAAGAGACTGAACTATAAATACTTTCATTTAGATAGGCTGACATTTGAGGGGGAAAAACTCAATTGATCCATAGAAGTCGATGAGAAGTCTTGAAAGTGGGTGGTGTTAGTCTTCTAATTTTATTCTTTTTTGGAGTTGTTTTGCCTATTCTAGATCCTTTGCATTTCTATATGAATTTTAGAATCAGCTTGTCATTAAAAAAAAAAAAAGCCTGCTGGGATTCTGATTGAGAGTAGGTTAATTTGGGCAGAACTGATGTCTTAATGGCATTGAGTCTCCTGACCCAGGAATGTGACTGTAGAAATCTAAAGGTAAGGGTAAGAAATCTAATTGTAAGGATGTCAATTACACAGAAAACTCAGTTGCATAATCTAATTTCAAGAGTCATGAAAGCAAACTTGCAAGCAAACATGCTAAGAGCTCTCTGGGAAAAGCCCTGTTGACACATTCATTGTTTAGAATAAACGAGCGGGTAACGAGAGACTGGCTCCTCCCACTGTGTGTATGTAGGTGGTCTCCCAAGGGCCAGTGGATAGATGAACCAGTGGGAGGTTTTCTTGGCACCGGTTATCACATGAATACAAGAACCGACCTTCAAAGGCAGTTTACTCAAGATGAGAATGCTATTTTGCTGTTGGCATTCTTGATCAAGTTCTGATCTCCCACAGAATAGGCCCTAAATCATAAATATGTCCATAAATTATGTAATTATGTAACATGTTCATTACATTTTGGGCAGAGGATATTCTTTTCCTAGCTTTAATTATCAAGTCAAAGGATGTACCAAAAAGAAAAATCCTCCAACCCTAAAATATTTAATGTGTAAGAACTGGCCTGTAAACCACCAATTTCCTTTTCGACTTTGTACTGCCTAAGTCACCTAAAAATGCTCACGTGGTTACAAATTCCCCGGCTGGCTAACTGGGAGGAGGGCCACTGGTTCTGATCTCTGACCGCCTGCAGGTGACAAGGCTAGTTCTCGTGTCTTTAGCACACTTTAATCAAGATGGTAATCAAAAATGTGACTTCAAATTCCAAGTTAAAAATAAAATCAGGGGCCGGCCTGGTGGCGCAGCGGTTAAGTTCGCACGTTCCACTTCGGCGCCCCAGGGTTCGCCGGTTTGGATCCCGGGTGCGGACATGGCACCACTTGGCAAGTCATGCTGTGACAGGCACCCCACATATAAAGTAGAGGAAGATGGGCATGGATGTTAGCTCAGAGCTAAACTTCCTCAAAAAAAAAAAAAAGAATAAAATCAAGAAGTAGAAAAATTAATACCCCACAGAGAAAAATATAAGGATTTGCATGTTTTTAATTCAATCCATTCATTGCTAAGAATATTAATTGTGAGGAAATTATGGAATCCAACTGGATTAAGTAAAAAATGAGTTACTGATGTTTCCCAGGGGTATACTGAGTTTTTCTACTGTATTTTTAGTATTTTCAAGTTTTGATGAGCTGACAGAAGCATGCATTCTCCTGCTTTTTATCTTAGCCTACAGCTGGCAACCAGCCAGGCAGGATAAGGCGGCGTGGACACGGTCAGCACAGGTGCTGTTCCTCAGCAGCATTATGAGAAAGGAGTCGAGACCAGTGCTCTCCGACTGAAAAACACCAGCCACGTATATAATTCCAAGTTTTCTAGTAGCCACGTTAAAAAGGCAAAAAGCAACAGATGAAATTAGTTTTCATATTTTTTATTTAACCCAATATGTCCAAAATAATATCATTTCAACACATAATCAATAATAAAAAATTATAAGTGAGATGTTTTTATGTCCTTTTCTTCATATTAAGCCTGGGAATTCCTGTGTTTTTGACTGACAGCACAGCTCCGTGCTGATGGTCACGTGTCGCGTACTAAGCGCCACGCTGGGCTGTGGCTGCCCTGTGGGCCAGAGCAGCCCAGACAGTCCAGAGCGTGTGCTCCTGGTAACGCCTGACCCTGTCTCATCAGGTGGGGAACACAAGTTACTTGAATTAAAAACAAATAGACTGGAAAAAACCCAAACTCTCTCTGTTTAGCTGAGCTCTGTCTGCATACAGTATACAGTATAATTTCCGCCACTCTAACTTTTTACATTGCAGGGTTTTAGCACTGGATGTCTTTAGGAATTCTTACACTGGCCAAAGGGGAGTAAAGTTTCAAAGC